TTCAATCCCGACAGGACAGCCTGTGCCTCTCTGAGAGCCAATACTTGAGCTGTTTGCCTTCCTACACTGCAAAACTGGGTGGGTGTATAGCCCCCTTGCACCTGGAAGGTGTTCTTCACAGGGGCAACTGCCCAGTGTTTAGGTCAACATTATTGTCAGCTACGAATTGGCATCAGGTAGAGCTGGAATAATATATTTTTGAGTTTAAAAAATTCATGGTATGATTCTGCAGGCCTTGGTGGAGCGAGGTAAGCAGCATGAGGGATGGTAGAAAACAAGGGGGTGTGCTAATGTCTGAAATTTGTTGGGAAAAAGTGAAACAAGGTTGTTTGAAGTGTGTTTAAAAAAAGATCCACCAGGAAAACCAAGTATCTCTGGCTGACAGTCAAAACTGCACTGTCAGCATAATGGCTTTGATACAAAGGCTAAGTGTGTCATCCCCCACACCCCCAGCAGTGCGCAGGGGAACGGTAATGAGTGTTCTGGATAAGAAATCATTAAATGTTGAGCTGTCTTGGAACAGAAAGGGGAAAACGAGGCTGGAAGTACTGTGGCTAGGCCTCATTAACAGGATACCTGTCTCAGCCAAGGAGTTTCTGATCTCTTCATAATTACTCCTGTTTCACCAAGATCTGTTGGGTTGTGGGTTGTTTTTTTTCAAATAAACATGGCTGGTCTGCACATGTTTGGCATGTTTGTGTTAAATGGGGGGCCCAGGAACAAGTTTTCCTGTGTCACCTGAGAAGAGCAGCACTTTTCTTGGAGCAGCATCTACTGTCTCAGCAAGGAGCTCTGCTGCCAGTGTAGCAGAGACCACTCAATCAGAACACCTCAACCCAAATCCCCAGTGTTTCTTGCTCTTCTCGTCCTACTTCAGGGAGCCTTACAAAGGCTCCTTGCTCTTGTGCTACAGTCGCGGCTGCACTAATCTCGGTGCAGCACAGTTTTGCTGGCACATGTGCCGCATCCCTTGCTGTTCTGTCCTGGCCTCACGCAGGTCTGGCAGTGTGAGGTTTGACCTTTAGCTGGAGTGCAGGTTTTGTGGGTATCTGTAGCTACTTTTTCAGTAGAGAATAGTTCCTGACCCTGTCCGTCTTGTGATGGCAGGGGAAGAAATAGCTTTGGTATCACAGGAGGAGGCAGAAGTTAGACACATCACCTTGATATTGGCAAGGTGATCACTGTGGGTGCTTTTTTTCTTTAAACTGAAAGAGGGTAGATTTACATTAGGTCCTAGGAAGAAATTCTTCACTATGAGGGTGGTGAGGCACTGGAACAGGTTGCCCAGAGAAGTTGTGGATGCCCCATCCCTGGACGTGTTCAGGGCCAGGCTGGATGAGGCTTTGAGCAACCTGGGCTAGTGGGAGGTGTCCCTGCCCATGGCACGGGGTTGGAACTCAATGATCTTTAAGGTCCTTTCCAATCCAAACCATTTTATGATTTTGTATAAGAACTGTAAGGTTAAATAGGAGCAGAGGTTCAGAGGAATAGTAGGCTGAATACCTGGGAGAACATGAGAGATGGAGAGAAGTGGATTTGGACAGAGTTGTATCACACTTCCATTTCTAGCCCATCCTTGGGCTAACATTTTTCATACTTCCAGTAGCCATGCCCTGTCAGGGGCTGTTGGATACCCAATACAAAGGAGATACATCTCTCTTCAGCCTGATCCAGAGCCCCCAAAAACCATCTGTGTGAGCAGTGGGTCTGCAAGGCCTTGCTTCATACTGGCTGGTGTCCTGTAAAGTGCAGGCACTAAGGAAGCTCTTCTAGGGTGGGGACATGCAGAATCTCTCTCTCTTGTTTCAGCTCTATGATCACCAACAAGAGCTGAATGCTGCAGGCTGTTCCTCGGTAAAGATGATGGGATTCCTCTTCTCTATGCACCTATGAATTTTGGTGAAACTCGAAGGTACTTTGATACTACTTTGGGGAAACTGAGTTGAAATGTGTGGAGCGAATGCAGGCCATGTCAGTGTCAGGTGAGCTTCATTGCCTTAGATACCAGGCTACAAATACCACCAGAGCTGTCTGACTGATAAGTTTCTCAGCCTCCACCAGTAACATCACAGGCTGTGGGAAATGATTTCCGCTCACCCTCTGCAGGTGACCCCTCCGATCCCAAACTGGTGTGTGCCTGGGTCATCATACATGTGACAATGTTGCTCTGTTACCACCTAGGTTTCCCCCTGGAGGAATTCCGTATTTCAGAAACACTGTCTCCAATATAAAAATATAAACCAAAACCAAACTTTGCCCTGTGAAACATGGGTGTTATCTCAAGTTAGCTATTGATACTGCTCAGAGTTACACTGTATTTAACACTGCAGCTAAGGTATCTTGGTGTTGGAGATTGTATGAACAGCCTCATTTTGCTGAGTGCTATTTTTTTGTCCCAGTAGTACTGAAACAATGAATATCCTCAAATCCACAGCACCTGTACACACCTTTTCATATGAAACTGTAAAGTCTCTAGAGTCTCTCCCAGTGTCCTGGTTTTGGCTACAACACTCAGCAATACTGGGGGTTTTTCCAACATTTGCGAGCGTGATTCTTGGTTACTGGTTTTTTTTGAAGCTTCGGTTGCTGGAATCCAGGTATTGCACAAGGGCCTTTCTGTCACTCAGAGAAAATCCAAGACATTTCTCATTCTCACGACAGTACAGGAAAACTGGGGAATACTATTTTAAATTACCTGAAGGCTCAGAAAATGTGAGGAAAATGAAAGGAACTCCCAAATTATTTTGTTTTAAGATCTCCTCTGCCCCCACATCCCGTGGCTATTGGGGAGAAATGGCTCAGTGACATTGGAGGAGGTGAGTGGTAATCTGCATCTAGACTGTTTTGGCCCTTCTTTGATTGACTCCAAAGGAATTATGTATCTTCTCATGTACAAAGTCCTCCACTCTCCTGCCTTTGCTTCTATCTCTGCTGATATCTCCAGCACCCCAACTCCCACTCTCTGTTTGATCGAAGCTTTCCCTCTTCTCCTTTTATCATTTCTGCATGCTTTAGACTCTCTGCCTTCTCTGCTGCAGCGCATGCCCAGAGCAACCTTCAAACGTACTTCAAGTTCCCCTTTTCCATCAAGAGCCTTCAGTGACTACGTGGGAGAGTCAGGTTCTGACATTTGTCTTCCCTGCTCAGTTTTTATTGCTTAATGCATGCAGCTGGGCACACAGATAGCCCTGGAGCACCACAGATCAGGCAAGGAAGTACAGAAATTTATGATATTCAATGTACAAATGTTAAATGAACACCTGGGGGAGAAGAGGGCATGCCCATACCAGACATTCCCAGAACTCTTCTGGCTTCCAGCTGTTTCCAGCTCAGGGCCCTCCTGGGCTGGATGTGTAGAGCTGTCCCCCAGGAGAGGATGGGCCACATCGGGAGAAACTTGGAGTAGAGACTGAGAGCTGGCTGGGTTTCTCCTCCCCTTCTTTCACAAAATTTTAAGGGGAGACTGGGGAGATGAGCCTTGGGGTGTCCATTGGGGGTGAATGGAGCTCCGGTTTTGTCCCAGAAAACTGCTTGAAAAGCCACAAGCAGAGTGTGACGAGCAATGGCAGAACCCAGCTGCACTTGGGGTTTCAGTGCTTCCTGGTGGTCTTGCCATGGGCTGGGCCTCTTCTGTCCACAGGGCCTTTTACTGCACCGTGGTTCCTTGACAGAGCTGCCTGAGCATCCGATCCCTCTGCCAAAGCCCCTGGAACAGCCACAGATCAACACCCAGCTACGTGATGGATGGATACGGCCAGGCGGAGCAATGGGGACCCTGTCTCCTGACTCTGCACCATGCCTCGCAGCTTCCCACACAACTCATACTCCATCCTGCAGCCCCGGGATCATCGGTGGAACAGGTCCGGCTGGCATCATTGTGTTCAGCCACCCAGAAGAGAAAGGAGTCAAGGAAAGAGTCATGTTTAAGAAACCAAAACCAACCCACAACCACAGTGTGTCACAAGATTCCCATTACAGCTCCCTGCGGCACTGACACTGCTCCACAGATGTTCTGGTTTCTTGTAAATTTTATTCCAGGATTACAGAGACCTGCATGGTGTGGTCTACCCTTCTGCTCCAAAATGAGGCTGATATCACCTAAATTCCCCCCACAGGATGCTTACCCAGCCTGTTTTTAAAAACCTCCAGTGATAGAGACTCCAGTGCTTCCCCGGGCAATCTACTGGAGTAATTAACTGTCTGTTCTGTTAGAAAGTGTTTCCTAATGTCTAGCATCAATCTTACTTCTTGCAATTTAAACCCCATTACTCCTCGCCCTATTCCCCAATGGACGCAGCAAACCATTGATTCCTGTCCTCATCACGTCGCCCTGCACCCCAAGAGAAAAAGTCTCAGGCCGATTTATGACATTGCCTCTGCCTGCAGAGGTGGCTCTTCTGAGCACGGTCACACTGGCAAAGGGAAAAACAGAAAGGATCTTCTGGGGTCGGGGGGTTGGCATAGTGCACTGCTAGAAGTGAGACCTTTAGAAAGCACCTGTGTTTGTGATGGCTGCGAGCCCAAAGGGGAGTAGGATGGTGGGGTGGATTTTTGGCATGTGCCCACCATGTTCCCTTGCTGTGCCGGGGGGTAACTGTGGCACCTGTGGGTGCTGGGGGGCTGCAGGCTTGGGCAGGCAGGGAGAGGGGCTGCAGCAGCACCAGTGGGATTTGAGGTGACAGGGGAGAGGTTTAACCTGTCACAGAGGACTGCTCCTGGTCCAGACCTGGCCTCCTGGCACCATTTGGTACCATTTCCCCCTCTCGTTCCCTGTCCTGCTGTCCCTGCAGCCCATGGGGCTGCCCTGCTGTGTCTGGCCGTGCCACCAATTTACGTCACTTTGTGTAGCCAGAGCGATGTGGCCCCCTGGGGCCGACCCTCATCCCCTCCAGCCTCCTGTACAGACTTGCTCCTTTAAGCCTGGCTCAGAAATGACCAAGCTGATCCCTCCCACCTGCCCGCTCCCCCTGGCCTGGCCCTGACGTCAGGGGAAGGCGTGTGGATGCGTGTGTGTGCGAGGCGCACATCATACACACATCAGATACCGCAGATCCATCAGCAGGCAGCCGGCAGGCAGGCAGGCAGCCAGAGAAAGCCCCCCAGAGCCGGGCTGCAGGCAAGACCGCTGCTCCTCAGAAGGTAGCGGAGGAGCGTTCGGCCCCGCTGAGCGCCGATGCTTTGCAGAGCACAGCTCCAGGGAGCCCGTCGCTGCTAAGGAGGTAAGTCAGCGGAGGCACAATGGCCATCCAGCTTGCTTGGGCTATTGTAGCTGGAGATTAAACTTCGCACACGCCTTTTTCTTTCAAAGCTGCTTTTTCCTTTCAATGGCACAGAGGTGCGAGGGTGAAGCGCGACTTCCCTCCTCCAGTTTGGTTATTCCTCACCTGCTTCAAGAACAATAACTCCTCTGGGGGTGACCGTGTTGCCATCGCACTCCTGCTTCTGCTGGGGGGCAAATAGCCAGTGCTTTGCCACAGAGGGCTTTCTGATTGCCAGGTAGGGAGGAGGCGATCTGTAAAAAATCTGTCTTATTAAAGTGGGCTGATAATGATGGGGCTTGAATTGGGGTTTCTTTGGGACTGGCTGCACTACTCATTCCTGCAGATGGCAAGTTAGATCCACAAAGGAAGAAGGAAGGACATAGATGAGGACACTTGTGCCAGATTTTTGAACAGACATGATTCTAATTAAAAAAAAAAAACAAAAAAACAACACAAACGTAACAAAACAAACAAACCCCACAAACTTGGTATTTGGGAGTGATGATTATGCATATATGCTTAAAAGGTAAATGAAGCCTCCATGATGGCTTCTCCTTTTGCTTCCCCTTTGCATCTGGCAGCCTGTTTGCTCTCCCCCATGGCCTCCCCGGGAACTGGGCAGCCCCACACAGACCAAGGGAGCTTTTGATAATCAATTCATAAAGGCAACATTCATATTTTAGCGCTAAACAGGCTGTATCGTAGGCGAGACTATCTCAGTAAAGATCCCTGGAGTTGTGAGCGTGATTGGCTTAGCTGGGGAGGGGATGCTCTCAGTGTGTATTCCCCAAAAACCACCTTGTTTATTTTTCCTATAGTAAATTGTCTCTGCAAAGGGGTTTTTAACATGCAGGGTAGGCAAGGAAATTGCTTTGCTCGGTATTTAACTCTTAAGGGCATGATCCAATAACCAAAAGAAAAAGGGGGAGAGGCTGAGAGGCTTTCATTAGCATCGGACAGAGACAGCATTTATAAAAACCTGCCAGACACTGAGGCTGTGAGTCTCCTCCAAGGAAGGGAGGATGGAGAAACATAACTGGGTGAGCGCTGTGGTGGCCCTGCTTGTGGTCACCCCTGCCTGGAGCCATGCTGGTTCCCCAGCTCCTTCCTGCCCTTTACAGCAGCCCACCAGGAGATGCCGATTCGGAGTCTCCGCTGGCCACCGCGTTGTTGGTGGGTCCCTCGGTGTGTGAATGTGCCAAGCAGCTGAAAAATGTGATTTTATTTTTTTTTCATCGAGCTCTGGGGGCACACTCCTGTGTCTAGAGAGATGGAGCTCTTCTCTGTTTCAGCCTGTGTCTAGACAGGCTGGGTCTGGGGGGGCATCAGCCTCCCTGAGGATGGCGGCGGGCCAGAACATCATTCTCCCTGCTCCATGGGGTGAGGAGATGGCTGCCGGCAGACGGCTGCAGGTATGGGGTGTCTTTTTGACATACAAAGACCTTTTCACTACTGGGATGGAAGGAGCAGGGAGGTAAACCTGACTCCTAACCTGGGGGCACTGGCAGTCGCGAGGGATGGAGAAAACGTGATGGTGAGCGGCAGGGAAGAGCCTGTGTAGGGGCTCGCTGGAAAAGGCAGCAGAGGGAAAATAACCTCTGGCTCCCCGGCTGGTGTGGGGGGAGCAGCAACACTCCAAGCGCTGTGGCAGACAGCATCTGAGCCGGGGATTTGCAAAGGGATGCGGCAGCATGAAAGGAAATGGCCCAAAAAGGCGATGGCGGGCAGCCGAAGGGTCACGTCCCAAAGCCAGAGCGTGACAGCTGCCGGCAGAGCAGCCACCCCTCTGTCCGTCTGTATGTCCTGGGCAGCTGGGGGGGTCCTGGTGGATGGGAAGGAACACAAAGAATCGCCGTGCGGGAGGGCTGACTCGCCGAGGGCGATTAAGCCAATTAAATATGTATTCCCCCGCCCAGCTGAGGGACGCGTGAGGGGTTTTTCTTCACTGCTGCTGATGAACGGGGAGTGGCAGACAGAGGCTGGTGCCTCTTCAGAAGGCTCCTTCCCCCCTTCTGGGGGACCTTGAAAGGATGTTTAGTTAAATAAGGTCACAGCCAGCACCCAAGTCAATGTGTCTGGCTTTAAAGAGAGGGAGAGAGACAGTGATTTTATTTGATAAACCGCAGACCTTTCAGTGGCTGGTGATGAATGGGGTACTTGGATCTCAAGATAAAAGCTGATGTGTCTACTGCTTGTCTGCCTTAATTGGCCTGGGTTTTGTGCGTTCGCCTGCGAGCGCGCCCGGCTGTCAGCTTGGCTCAGAAGCTTGCCGTAAGAAAAATATAAAAGCAAGGCTGGCTGCCACTGCTGAAGGAAACCCTATCACCAGAGGGCTCTGGGGTTTTGATCCATGGTGGTTTCTTTGGGTAGGGAGGAAGATGGACAGGGTGATGGGTGTTTTTTACAAAGAGCATCCTTCCAGGGAGTGCTGGGCTCAGTGCTGCTTATGCACATCCTTGCCTACGACGACTGTCACCCCAGGGGACTCTCAGAGCAAAGCCACTGGGGAGGAGGTCCTGCAGTGGTGGTGGTGGGGGGGTTACACTGGAAAGGCTTCCCGTGCACCACGGCAGAGCCAGGCTGCTGCAGCGTTTGCTCGCCTCCTCAAGTGACCTGGATTTCATCGCTGCACTGTGTATGTGCATGGGGTGGACACAGTGTTGTGGGTGGCATCTGCCAGGCCAGGAGAGACCTGGGGTGGGAAGAGATGCTCTCAGCCCTGACGGAGGTCAGTGTGCCTGCTGGCGATGGAGGAGAGGGGGAAAAAGCCTCCTGTCCCCCCAGGTGCCCCCTCCTTGTCTGCTGGGGCTGCGGCATAGAGAAAGGCCAAGGAGAGGATGGTGGGGTAGAGCAGAGGGAGGGAAGGAAAAGGACAGGAGGATGGGAGAGGTTTCCCTCCTCTTTGGATGGGCTGGGAGGGGAGGAGATACTGGTGAGGACATGCTCACATCTCCCCTCTTCTCTCAGCCTGCTTTTGCCACGAGTTTAATTTCCTTGGTCCCTTTGTTTGCTGTGGGGATTTAAATGAGGTGGGAGGAAGGGTACCGCCTCAGAGCCCCTCGTGATGCCAAAGCTCCTGCTCAGCCTCAGCTTTGCTGGCACTGGCAAAGCCAGGTGTTCAGCCACTGGGTCCCAAGGCTGACCCACAAATCTGGGGTGCTTGAGCCAGGCAATGGAGCGGGGCAGAGCACTGCTGGCCATGGGAGCCAGCCTCACCACAGACATGGGATGGACAGGGGCCTCTGCTCTGCCCCTGCTCCAAGCAGAAGTTAGGAGCAACACCTCGGTTAGAGCAGGCTGCTCAGGGACATGTCTGGAGGGGCGGATTGCATACCCCTGAGAATGGGGATCCCACAGCTTTGCTGTGCCCTGTCCCTGTGCTCATCTTGGTGAGCTGCCACCCTGTGCCAGGGCTCTCCCCCATGTCCCCATGGGCCAGACGGAACCCCCTAAAGTATCTGCGGGCACTTGTGCCTGGCTTGTTCTCCCATGTGGGGAAAGCTCAGCTCGTGGGGCAAGTGACAGCCCCAGGAGGGCCCCTCCACTTGGGCCTCAGGAGTGGACTGTCTGCCTCCTCTCCCTGGAGCTCCACCATGCTCCTGCTCCCCACCACCGCTCATCCTCCAAACCTGGGAGCCTTCCAGGGCACCCCAGCCTGGGCTATTCCCACCGGTGAACCTGGGGCAAACTCACTCTCAGTTTCAGCTTCGTCTGTGCATGCCATTTTGTCCTTGCAAGGCTCCCCACCTTGCATGCCCCTTCCCCTTTGTGTCTTATTTTTCTTTTGCCTCTGGGGAAACTTCAATTTTTCCAGCCCCTTACAGGCTCACCAGAGGAAGCTCTCCTGGTGCCAGCTAACACCCTCAGCATACTAATAGTTTGCTCTAAGCATCGTTATTCAGGTTAAATACCCTCCTTTGTCCCTAATCTGGTGGGGAAACCAAAAGGCCTCGTCATGGAAAGTGCGCACAGAGGAGGTGCGCTGTGATTAAGCCATTTCCATAGTGGCAGCTCCACGATGTGGCAGAGAACCAAGGGCTGCTTCCCCCAAATCGTCCCGTTCATCCAGCCCTGACACCTCCTGGGGAGGCACTGGTTCCTGCAGCGACATTTGGGGACCACATCCCTTTTGGCTGCCCAAAAGTGGCCAGGCTGCTCACCAGCACAGGCATGGCAGTCGGAGGTGGGGGTACAGATGGGAACAGAGAAGCAGCTTCGTGGCTACCCTGGCTTTGGGGTGTCTCGCTTGGGTGCTCCCTGAGCTCTCTGAGCTCCCTGGGCAAGGGCGAAGGAGATGCTGAGCCCGGTGGGCCGGGAGCTGAGCAGCCCCGGTGCGGGGGGGGCCATGGAGCAGGAGGCAGGCACGCGTGCTCCAGTTGCTTCAAGGCAGAGAGGAGCCACTGGAGCGCATGAAGGGTTGGGTGTGGGGGTGGATGGGAAGCCAGTGAAGGGAGAGGTGTTTTGTGGCTGCAGCCTCAGAGGGCAGGAGGAAAGTGGTGGCTTCTGCCTTGGGATGGGACTCTGGTGTGGCCTCTGCCGCCAGACTTCAAGGTGAAGCTCTGCAGGATGGAGAGGGGACAGCTGTCAGGGCATCAGCTGAAGTGTGGATGGGCACCAAAGGTGGACTGGCAGCAGCTGGGACTTGGTGGCAGGCAGAACCCCTGGCAGGGAAGCAAGCAGAGGTGGGCAGGGGAACAGGAGTAGCCTTGTCCCTCCCCAAAACTTCAGCTGCTCTAGAAACCTTTTCCCATGTCCTTGGTGCCTGCTAATTTCAGAGCGGAGGTGACCCCCTTTCGCATGTCCCCCCAGGGCCTCCACATCTCAGGGGGCCAGGGATGAGTCAGAAACCAAATTAAATTTTCTCTGGGTTTCCCAGTGTGTGCAGGTGTTGTTCCAAAAGATGCTGCATGCCCCA